TCACCCGCACGATTGTCCCTTAAGAAAGACTTGAAATTGCCCGCCAATATAATAGAAAATATATCGAGCATAAGGTAAGTGGAGAACCGTTCGACTTTTTCTACACATACACACGTACAGAAACAAATACACACACACACACTGAAATTAAATTTATATACGTGTGTGTGTGGGCTGCATTCCACAAGCTCCGCTTGGAATCTACTTGGGTATTGCTCAAAAGTTCCACATTTTCTTATACACATTTCATATGTGTATTCTAGTTACTCATTAACATTGAATATTTACACTCCCAAGTGATTTTGTTGTAAATTGAGTTAAACATATGTTTAAACACAAGTTCCACTTGGAATCTGCAGAGGATTTTGGTGTTACACTGAAACTATTTGCAGTACCAATTGTTTTCATTGTAAATTTAATTGAACATGTATTCTAGTTACTCATTAACCTTAAATATTTACACTCCCAAGTGATTTTGTTGTAAATTGAGTTAAACATATGTTCAAACACAAGTTCCACTTGGAATCTACAGAGGATTTTGGTGTAAAACTGAAGCTATTTGCAGTACCAATTGTTTTCATTGTAAATTTAATTGAACATATGTTTTGAGTTGCATTCCACAAGTTCCACTTTTATTTGCAATTTAATTTCTTGATATTTTAGTAACCCCAAAGCTTCCAAATGGAAATAGGTTTGCTCTCGTGGATTTCACACACACATATATTTATACACACAGACGAAACACAAACAAGATAACATTTTTGGTTTTAGTGCGTGCCACACACTCGAAATGCTGTTCACAGAGTTTTGCATTCGCATTTGCATTTGCATTTGGTTTTGGTTCTGGTTCTGGTTAAAAAAAAAGAATGGTTTATGGTCCCCTGTGAAAAAAAACCCACGTTGGTGGCGGGCAATTCAAGGTTTGATAAAAGCCACACACACCCACATACCCGCAAACGCACACACGCATAATAGCATCCACAGCCATATATGTACATATAGTAAATCCAGCAACATCCAGCCGCACCACCACCACCGCACTACCATAACAGCCGCCGCCTGCAGCGGCTAACCGATAGTGGAACCCATTCGTAACAGCATGGGATCCACAGAAGAACAGCCACTGCAGGCGCAGCAAAATGCATTTTTCTGTTTTCTGTTTCAATCTGCAAATCAAATAAACATAAATATAGACTAATTCCCCTATCCCGATATATCCCTGTATAATGCATAAATCACCGCACCACTCCATACGACACCACAGTCCCAGTCTGACGGGAAGGAAGTCCAACGAACTGATCCAGGGATCCCTGAGCAGCATCAAGTACGCGGCCAACTCGCTGACCAAGAAGTTCGACGAGATCAAGGGCGCCATATCGGCCAATTCGACGCCAACGAAAACGAACAATGGCCACCAACATGCCCTGCCCCACCATCCGCACCACCACCACCATCATCATGGTGCGCATCCGCACCACCAGCAGCAGGAGCAGGAGGAGCACGATGCGTCCGTCGACGAGGGCAAACTGAGGCGCGTCTCCAGCGACCTGGATCCCTGGGGCAGGCTGAGCGAGTCGCGCAAATCCAGTTACAACAATCTGGTGCCCCTGGGCGAGAATAGCCCCAGCGGCGCCCTGCACATGCACGCGTTTCCGGCTCTGCCCGACAACCTGTACAGTCCCATGACAGAGGTCAGTTCTTCATTGGTTTTGTATTCAATCGTTCAATATTCAATACTCAATTTGTGTAGGGCTCCATGGAGCGTGACTGCGATGTGCTCATCCAATTGACGACCTGCTCGCAATGCCACAACTGCTCGGTGCTGGTGTACGATGAGGAGATCATGAGTGGCTGGACGGCCGAGGATTCCAATTTGAATACCACCTGCCATGCCTGCAACAAGCTCACCGTTCCCTTCCTCAGCGTGCAAATAGTCCGCGTGGAAGAGGCGGAGTCGTCCAGCGAACAGCAGGCGAATGGAAAGAGCAGCGCATGTGAGAATGGTGGCCAACAGACCAGCTTAACAGTGCCGTATCTGAATCCGTTGGTGCTGCGCAAGGAGCTGGAGAATATACTCACGCAGGAGGGAGATATGGCGCTGATCAAGCCCGAGTTCGTTGAGGAGCATCCCATTATCTATTGGAACCTGCTGTGGCTAATGGAACGCATCGAAAGCAAGACCCATCTGCCAGAGCTTTCTCTGCCGGTGCCGGTGAGTGCTCGACGCCCCCAACCCCGCCCCTCCCAGAGAGCAGTCTGTTTCAATCTGTTTCTGTTTGGCAGCTCGATAAGGAGCAATTGGATCCGCTCAGCAAGGTGAAGACGGTGCACATCCAGTGCTTGTGGGACAATCTAATTCTGCACAACGAGACCAGCGGCCCGCCCATGTATATACTGTACAGGGAGACGCAGCCGACGAGTCCCCTGATCAAGGCCCTGCTCACCGATCAGGCGCAGCTCAACAAGAAGTATGCCTCACCATCAGACACAGAGCACAGAGACCCTTGAATGTCTTTCTTACGCCCTCTCTGTCTCTCTTTATTTCAGTGTCATACAGCAAATCATTTCGGCCATACGATGCAATGATCTGGCCACGCCCTTGAAGCGTCTGGCCAACGAGCGGCACAAGCTGAAGAGCAATGGTGTGGAACGGTCGCATTCCTTCTACCGGGACATACTCTTTCTGGCCCTCACGGTCATCGGTCGCTCGAATGTCGATTTGGCCACATTCCATCGCGAGTACGCGTCCGTCTTCGATAAGCTGACGGAGCGCGAATGCAACATGTATTACCGCAATCAGGATCTGCCGCCCTCGGCCTCGACGATCTTCTGTCGGGCCTATTTCCGACCCCTGCTGCTGCCCTGACGCACTCGAGATGGCGGCTATACTGCTTCCGATCCCGATCCAGATCCAGATTTTGATCCAGATTCCGATCTGAGTGATGAGAAAACGGACGAAGACCGAGACGCAGATGCAGACGCAGATGCCGATGCAGACGAAGAGGACGGAAACGGAGATACGGATGAGTAACCGTGAAACGATAAGACGACCAAAAAACGATTTGAAAAAAAGTGTAACTTTGACAACAACAAAACGCTTATCATATACGACAGATACGATACTCTAACACTGACATACACACTCACACCTTATTGTTCTTTTTAAGTACTTAAATGAACATTTTCGTTGCACTTGAAGCGATGGCAGCAGACAAGTCCGTTTTAGTCTGTGTGCTCCATCCCAAAATCGACTGGTTTCTGTGACAATATACACAAACACACACATCAAATGCCCCACACACCAAACACCACACCACACACCACACTCAAAACAGTGCGTTTCAAGCCCGACGCCCCCAACTTGACCATATTATTTTTTGTTCGGATTTAAATTAGCTTAATTATTGGATTCCGTTCGTTCGTCCTGAACCTTTTGTTTATTAGTGTACAGTTTTAGTGTTTCTGTTAAAGTGCTCCCAGTGTTTAGCTCTGGTTCTGATAGTTCTGGCTCTGGCACCGCCTGATCTTCGCTCAGTTTTTGAATAAACGCGAAGCATGATTCTGTTTACCTTTTGCCTGAACCTGCCCTACATTGCTGAAACGTACTGTATACACAAACAAAATGAGAACCTTACTTGGATACGTGTTTTCCTCACATTTACATGATTCAAACTCTCGACCCTCGTCATATTTGCCTTACTATATATAATATAACGATAACGATAACGATGCATATGTGTATTAGATGTATATGCATATGTATGTGTGTGATCTGGAATATCATTGATAGCATTGTGAGAAAGTCCCCTCCCCCACGCGGTCCACTGTCCTCGGTCCTCAGTCCTCAGTCCACACTCTGCCTGCATCCTCCCTCCAGTTATTTCAAAAATAACTAGCTATTTTTTTTTCTTTGGTGTAGATCCTGAGATTTTCTCACAATGCAACGCTCTCGAAACGAGTCTCTTAGTTAGCTTAGCGAACTTTTGGCTGCGGTTAGCAGGGGGGGGTTTTGTGGGAAGGGATATATGGAATATATATGGGATTGGGCATTGGTATTGGTATTATTTAGGGGAAAAACAAAATGAAATGGAACGAAACGAAACGAGAGGAATGGAATGGAAACAATTAAACATCGATTAAACACTAGCAATAATTTATGAATAAATCGTAAATAAATGTAGATGGAATGTTCTTACAGTCCACATTTTTAAAGACAACAAAAAGCACACAGCACACCACAGACACAGCCACAGACTCGGAAAGACAGAGGAACAGAGAAACAGGTACACACACTCTCACTCACTTATATATATATATATATGTATATATATATATTTCAGCCACAATAACTTTTTTTGTCGGGCATCTTAACTAATTGTATATTTAATAATTAAATTAATACAAAAACAAACAAAAAAACAAAAAAACACAAAAAAAGACACATGAAAATTAAAAAAAGAATAAACAAACAAGTTTTAAAAATAAATTCAAAATTGTTATCCTTTGCACCAAGTCCTTCGCTCCCACATGAATGCTCGACACGCACAAGCAAAGGCTGGCGGCTGAAGCTGTGTAACCGAGACGAGACTCAAGGAACCTATTGGCCATCGACCGATCATGAAAAGACATGCCACCCCCAAGGATCGACAGTGAAAGCCAGTAAATATTTGTCTTAATGCTAGAGAATATAATTCCGCATATGTGTATGCTGCATTTATGATTCGACAGGATCATTTCAATTGATCTACTTCGTAGGGGTATAATTACAGATCGGGAACAGATCTACAGATGCGCTAGGATATAGAGTACTGCGAGTGGGGATATACAAGTAAAACGTACATCGGGGTTTTTAAACGATTATATGGTAACTTATGAGCAAACAAAAATTAATAATGCTACGAAAGAGACAAAGTAAAACTAAAAACAGACGATGTGTCTGTCCCATTGGCCATTTCATAAGGCAGTTGTCGTGTGAGAGGATTACTTAAGCTAGAGGATTACTAGTCGGAGAGCAGCAGCACCACCTCCGACTCGGCTTCGGCCGCACTGGCCTTGGCTGTGGCTGTGGGCCTCTTCGGACTCGCTTTGGTGCTGGGGCTCGCATCGCTCTGGCGGCGCAGGAACTGACTGATGAGGCCGTTCTTCGAGGCGGCGGGGCTGGGCAGTTCCCGGGGCCCGGATATCAGGGCGACCCGCTTCTTAGGGGCTACCTGCGTCGGAGTGCTGGGCGTGCTCGAAGCGTCCACGGGGGCCACCGGCGATTCCTTGTCCTGCTTGACCGGTACCTCGGGCTCGGCGGGGGGACTGAGCTCGTGCTGTGGCGGAGTCTCCGATTCGGTGATCTTGGGGGTGAGCGTGTACTCCCATTGGTTCTGCACCGAGAGCTCGGCCAGCTGGAATTTCTCGAGCATCTCGGGGCCGACCATCCAGCAGAGGCGCTTTTTGGGCTTCTTCGATTTCTTGGCACTGCTGCCCGCTGCGGCGTCTGGGGTGGATAGCTCCATTGTCGACCAGGTGGCCAGCTCATCGAACTTCTCGCGGATCAGGGCCTTCGACGGCAGCAGCTGCGCCTCCTGGCTGGTCTGCGTCTTCAGGTACTCCAGGTATTCAGAGATCAGGAAGGCCTTGGCGTTGCGATTGCCATGCGTGAGCCGCACCAGCTGTTGCAGCAGTCGCTCGTCCAGCTGCAGGGGGCTGGGAGGGGCGGTGCTAGTCGCCTCCTCCCGCACCGTCTCCGGTGGCGGCTCCAGGCTGATCGGCTCCAGTTGCCAGCTGCCGTACATGTCGATGGTCTGAATGAAGACGGGCGGACACAGCTGCGACTTGTTGCCGTTCTCGTCCAGCCAGACGGGGCCGAGGAGCCGTGGCTTGATCTTCCTGGTCTGCTTCTTCATTTCCTGGGCGAACTCTTGCTGCAGAACCTGGAGCTTGGCCTTCTGGGCCTCGCGCGTATGCCCGTCATCCATTTCGCCATCGTTCTGCAGCTCCTCGTCGCTGAGATGGCCATGGGGGACATACCACTCGTTGTACTCCTCTTCGGACTCCTCCTCGGACTCGCGCTCCTTCTCGTCCTCGCTGGCGCTCAGCGATTCGCCCGGCTCCTCCTCCTCCCACTCGCAGTCCGAGTCAACTTCGTAGTCAAAGTGCACCTATATCGGGGAAGAACGTTTATTCTGGTTCAGAGGGATCGATTGGACTAGATAGGGGTGGACTTACCTTGTCCTGGGCCAGGGGGCGACGGGCGCAGATGGACTGGCTCTTCTTGCGCCAGGTGCCGTAGTACGGAGGCCGGCGATTGTCGGCGAACATCAGATACTTGGCCCGCATCCTGGGCATCTGCTTGGCCTGCTCCTCCTGCACAATGGGCGTGCCGGCATTGGTCAGATCATCTGAAAGGAGTAGACAGTGGGAGTGAGATTACAAGGTTGGCTGGAGAAGGACTGATTATGCGCCTACCTATCACCTGGACCTCTTCCTCGCTCTCCTCCTCTTTGGTGCGCCGCTGCAGCCGAATATCGCGCTGCATCTTGAGCGGCTGGCGTGTGCCTTTTGCCAGTTCCGCGAGGTACAGCTGGACGCGGTTGGGGCGCTTGCGGCGGCCTATGTTCTCGTGCTCCTCCTCCGACGACGATGCATCCTCATTGCGCTCGCGGAAAAGGCCATCCAGCTGGGAGCGCTGCAGGCCGCCAAGGGAGGCCCTCACGACGGGGGCCAGCAACATGTCGTCCTTGACCTGGAAGGGACGGAAGGCCAGCGACTGGCAGCTCATTTTGGTGCTTTCGCAGCTGGTATGCTCCTGCTCCAGCGTGGCGACGGAGGCGTCGCCTGTGCCTGGGCCCTTGGGCTGCTTCTGGACAAAGAACTTGGTGAAGGATTCGGCGGCGCGCTTCTTTTTCTGCTCGGCCTCCTCCTTCTCGTGCTCCTTGCGACGCTTCTCCTCGTCCCGTTTGCGCTGCACCTCCTCCTTGGCCTCGTTGCGCTTGCGCTTCTCCTCGTTCTTCGAGTCCACCTCGGCCTGGCGCTTGCGCTCCTTCTCTTCGCGCTCCTTGCGCCGCTGCTCCTCCTTCTCGTCGCGTTCCTTGCGCCGCTGCTCCTCCTTCTGGTCACGCTCCACTTTGCGCTGCTGCTCGCGCTGCTCCTTCTCCTGCTGCTTGAGGCGGCGCTCCTCCTGCAGCTTGTGCTCCTTCTCCTCGCGCGCCTTGCGCCGCTGCTCAAACAGTCGCTGCTGCTTGGGCGTCAGCGCCTGGCCCTTCAGGTCTCCGCCACCGTCGACACCGTCCATGTCATGGACGCTCTTTCTTCTGGGAGCCTTTCCCTTGCCTCCGTTCGCCCTCCTGTCGGGTGTGTCTGTGTCCATCTCCATCTCATGGTCGGTGCTGGACTGATCGGACTTCTCGCGGTCACTGTCGCTGCTAGAGAGGATCGTCACCTCATCATCGTCGGGGGAATCGTCCTTGCTTTCTGTCTCATCCTCTCTTTTCTCAACTGTCGTTTGCTTCACCTCTTTGTGGCTCTTCTGCTGCACTTCCGATTGCTGCTCTTGCTCCTTGCTGCTCTTCTCCGTAATCTCCAGATCCGCTTTGCTCATATCCTCCTTCAGGGAGGAATCCTCCTTTGTGGCCCGCTCTGTGCTCAGCTCGGTTTCTTCTTTTGTACCTTTTTCCAACGATTTGGAGTCGTGCTTCTTGGCATTCGGTGCCTTTTTCTTTTCGGCCTTTTGCTGATCCTCCTGCTTGCTGCTTGTCAATGTTTGGGCATCCTTGGTCTTCGGTTCTGTTTTCTGTCCTCTGTTCTTCTTCTCCTTGATATTCTTCTCCTCCGTAATCTCTTCCACAGTTTGTAGCACCTCTGCCGTGATCTTCTCCACCGCGTTAAGCACCTCCTCCCGGTCGTTTTTGTTTCCGTTTACCTTTGTCTTTGTCTCCTCCTCCTTGCTCTCCTCTGCTTCTGGCTTTTTCCCATCTTTCTGTCTCTTCTCTGCTGCTGCATCTGGATCCTTCTTGCCTTTGGGCAGCCGCACTTTCATCCGCTTCTCGGCAATGACTTTAGCATCATCATCGTCATCAGTCGAGTCGCAATCGACTGGCACCGCTGTCGCTGTCGACGGGGCAGTCTCTTTGGGGGTTGCTGCCTCCGATTCCTTCACAGATTTTCGGCGCTTGGAGCCGCGTTTGCTCAGCAGCGGCAGCTTGATTTGTATGGGCGATGAAGGGGCCTTCTCTCCGGGCTTGGTCTTGGGCTTGGCCTTCGGCTTGATCTGAATCTTCGCTTTGGCACCAGCCAGAGCTGGAGCTGAGGATTTCTTCTCCTCGGGCTTCTCCTTCTCATCAATGTCTTCGTCTGCGTCGTCATCGTCGTCCAGTTCGATGATTTCCTCGGCCATGTCCAGCACTTCCAAGATCTTCGACTTCTTAGCAGCTCCCACAGCCGCAGCCCCAGCCACGCCCACGGCCAGGTTCTCTTTGCTGTTGGAGCGCCGCTGCTGTTCGAGCTCCGAGGTGTCATCATTGCTGCTCTTTTCCTCGCTGTACGAGAGTCTTCGCTTGCGCGGCTCCTTCGGCAGCGGCGACTCTTCCGATGCCAGGGCATCTCCATCGGGCAGGGCCGAAGTACCGGAAGACGTAGCAGAGGTGGGGGCTCCTTCTGCCCCTGATACTGCTAAGGTGCCACCAGTGGCTGTTGATGCCACCGGGGTGATCAGCTTGAAGGGTAGACGTGTCTGGACCAGCTTCTTGCCACCGCTGCCAGTGGTGCAAGTGCGCTCCCCTGACTTCTGAATCGCATCTTTGGTAATAGGTTTACTGCTTGGTGACTGGAGAGTGCCGGCGAGCATATTCAAGCGTTTATTAATGCTTTTTCCTGTGTAATTTGGCCGCTTTCCCTCAGTCTATTGTAGTTGTGTAGTTGCTGGGAAAACGCGGAAAATATACAAGTGATGGGAGTTGCGCTCATGGAATGCCGCCAATTGTTGCGTGAGCACGATCGATGAATCGATAGGCATGGTCCGAATGTATGGTGATCAGTGTTGGCTAGTGAAACAATTGGGGTGATCATTTGAAGTGATCGTTAGAATTCAAAAATTTAAAAAAAAATAAGTGCATCAATTTGATTGCTTGCAGGCGACACACTTTAGTAATTACTGTTTGTACCTTTTTGAGGCAGCTGCCAAATATTTGTTTACTTAGTTTAATGTGGCGTTTTTACTAATCCCAGATAAGTGGTGAAGGGCGACGACGAGACGCCAGCGGGCACAACCACCATGCACACCCCCACCCCCAATCCCACTCCCACTCCCACTCTCTTTACTCATCCCTCCTGTCGGTCTCTGTGCCTGAAACCCCTTTTGGCTTTGGCTCGTTGACATGGTGACCTGATCCGAGAGACCCGCCAGCTCCCCGACTTCTGCCTGACTGCGAATTACATTCCATTGAATTACAATTTATTTCAGAAGCACCCAACACGCACCGCACTATCCAATGGGATAAGCGGTGGGTGTCGGATGCGAGGCGGTTGCGGTTGGGGTTGGGGTTGGGGCTTTCGTGGGATGTAACACGCAGACACCCACGGCTCGAACGAATAGTCCGGAATTGCAACTGCTGTATTGTTCTCCCAGAAGTCAGAATGGACGGGAATACTTCCATTTCCATATGCGAATTATATTTTCAAAAAGAACAGCTTTTATTTTCCAGTGAAATATCGCTGAGCAATTTCAAAATGAAACACTATCGATAGCAAAAAGTTGCAAAAGCCGTAGCCGTGCGAGTTTTAATCTGAATTTTACTCGAACAAAATTTAAAACCGAAGCTTGGATGAATATAAAACTAAGTTTAATTTCTAATTTGTTAACATCTGATACTGAACACTAGACTAGAGCTGAAATTCAGTATTCTGTATTCAGAGAAGTTTTCAATTCGAAAAGTGCATTGGCTAAGCGGGAACAATTGTAATCGAAGCAGGTCACTGCTTAATTGAGGCCTGATTGTCACTACATATCCATATATGAAAATTCACAACACATCTACAGCTTGCGAATTACTTTCCGTTCTAAAACAAAACTAAAATTTGACTAAAATGGCATATTATCAGCGTCGGGAGCTGGAGTTGCAGCAGTTTGAGGAGGAAGTGCGCACGGTTCGCATTCTGATATTGGGCGATCCAGGTGAGGATATACGCACGTATAGGTTATTATAGTCGACAGTACCTTGAAACTTGAAACAATTTTTAGGCGTGGGAAAGACATCTTTGACTAACTTGTTGGCTAACAGCGAGATCACGCCGACACGTTCCTCTAGAACCGTTGCCGACAGCGAGTGGACCGTCCAAGCGCGTCTGCACGAGTACCCCAGGGTGCACCTTCCACACACACCCGAGTGGATGTCGACCTCATCATCGCACCGCTCAGCCCAATCGCCACTCACTCCTGAAGAGCTATATTTCGTTGAGTTCTACGATAAGAACGACTCAGTGACATATGGTCGAGTGGACAGGAATCCCTTGTACAAGAACATAGACGGAATCATCTTGGTGTATAATATGCAAGACATGCGGTCCCATGACCACCTGCACGACTGGCTCTACGGGCCACTGCGCGAGATAAGCGAATGCCGCCAGAATAAACGCAAGCGCAAGCGTATGTTGAGCCGTCTCAATGTGCCTATCCTAGTCGTGGGCACCATGTTGGATAAGCTGCGCAAGCGCTCACTGCGTCGCTCTGGGAACATTGCTTATCAATTGGGATCAGAGGAGATATTCATCAATTGCCACGATCAAAACTCATTGTCTGAAATGGGCCGCAATTACGGAAAAGTGCGCAATTTCTTGAACAGAGCCGTCGAATTTAGGAAATGAACTGAATACTCTACTTAACCTCACATGTGTACAGACATGATACATGTGCCATAATATCTTAATATACATAAGTATGTGTTAAGTATATTTTATATTTATATTTATTGTAATGTCTGACGGAGATTCTACCGCCTAGGGGGGGTAGGATCTGGCTCTTAGCCAGGCGGTCACTTCATTTGACGACCGCCTACGAAATGCAGGAGCCAATAGTACACCGACTGAGCTCCATGTTGTCCATTGTTGACGACCACGCGATAGCCCTTCTTCAGGCCCAGCTCCTTCATCTTCTGCCAGGCAGAGCTGATCGATTGGCTTTCTTGGAATCACCACAAAATGAGTGGGATTCTTCTGTGTGGCCTGTGTGTGGCAGTTGCATGGATTGTCCAGTGTCCATATCGTTGCATTTCCCATTGATGGGAAACATTGGCAAACAGGCAGTGCCTAAACAGAGAAACTCCCACTCTCCTCTCAGAAGAGCCTACGGACAGAAACAACACTCGTCGCTGGTCGCTGCTGGCGAGTAGCGAATGGAAAGGCGGAGGGCACGACTGACTGATGACCTGTAAGAATGGAGGTTGGGGAAAATTGGCGACATAAATGAAAATTGAAGATACTTAGAAACCAAGCGTGCCCCATGCCACTTGCAGGCTCTAACAACAGTATAAAAGAAGCTACAGGTTCCGATCCAATCTTATTATTGATATTATATTATCATATAGTATGTTTCATAAATCATTCATTCACAATGTAAATGTGCAATTTTCACGCATGCAAAAAAAAGAAAATGCGCTAATCAATCAGCTGGCCGCACTTTGACCATTCGCAGGTTAACGTACATAACAGTGATGGGACTATTGTCTATCATAATGTTTTGCCAGACCTTTTTTGGGGTTTCCCACAGAGCGCATTTTAGTGCAGGGTTGCAGGTATTTCGTTTAAGGTGTTATGATATTAGACTTTGGGACAACTTTGCTGCGAGGAGAGACAGATAGCATGAGATGGTACACCTCTCCAGTCATGTCTTCCCATACTAGAGCCTTCAGTCGGATTCGAATCACCCCGAACGGAATCCGAGCAGTGCGGATTAATATCGGCCAGTTTCGTTCGCATGTTTCTAAAGTGATTCCACACATATTCCCATAAGGCAAACATTTTCTTATTCGAATTTCCACTCTCGGTACTGCATTTGTATATCTGAGCGTAACTATCGGTGCTCAGGGCATTTTCCTCAGTGTGCTCAACCGTTGGAACCTCAGGGTTCGCTCTTCTCTGAGCGACCACTGCACCGACTTGATCGGTCGTCTCTCCTCCACGGTATTCCTTCTAGTCTCTGGCACGGCACACTGAAACCCATTTAAGTTTCCCTGTAAATCTTTGAATCTAATATTGACATGTGTGGCAGCCAACAGCCAACCGCCACCAGCCACCAGCCGCAGAGGAGGAAGGAGGCCAGGCCAGCTCCTGCTGCGGTCGCCGCTTGCGGCTTTTGTTTGATGATGACGGGGGGCGGGCTGGCATGAATGAAGTGGGTCGGACATGTGCCATATTACACGCATTTAGGCCCGACCGGGATTTGCCACACGCGCGGGGTTGTCCGACATCGACTCCTTTAATAATGATAATAATAATTTTGCATTGATTCCGCTGGGAGTTGTTGGAAAAGTTCGATGCGACGACGAGTCTCGTACAAAACGGGGCGTAAAATGGAAATTCGGTCATGCATATGAACGGAAGGAGGAGGAATACAACTGGAAGCTGTGGGTAATAGAAAATCTATTAGCGTACACAGAACCCCCTCCACCCGCATTCAGGGTTTTGGCATGGGCATGGAGGGCACGGCACATCCTTTTTGATGACACGCAAAAGGCAATAGACACAAAAAATTGGCAACACAGGGGGCAATGCACGGGGCACACACACACACACCCGGGGGGCGGGTCCGGAGGAGGCACAGACAGCGAACCTGAAATTAGAAACCTGTTGGCGTGAAGCGTGCATAACAGGACTGTCAGACGGAAGGACAGACGACTGACAGCCAGTCCGGAGGCTCGGCTCGTATGCTGATATTTCTCTTAACTTTTTACACACATACTAAGAGCAATGTAAGGTTGTAGTACATTTGCACAGTGGTCTAGGGACCATCAAATCAGAAACTGATTCAATAGTTGAGAGACCTCTCCTCCCCGGCATAACCACAAGACAGAGAAAGAGACAGAGACAGAGAGAAAGAGAAAGAGAGAATAAATAGATTTGAATACTTCCAAAAGTACTTTGACCATTCGCAGGTTAACGTACATAACAGTGATGGGACTATCGTCTATCATAATGTTTTGCCAGACCTTTTTTGGGGTTTCCCACAGAGCGCTTTTTAGTAAAATCAAACCAAAGAATCCTTAAATATACAAACACAAATCTTCCCGCTAAAGTCTATATATATATTTTTGGATAATGAGAATGGTATCCTTCTTCAGGCTCTGTAACCATCCCAAACCCAAAGAATACCCACCCATAGATCAATTCATTTAAAAGTTGCCTTCCCTTGATTTCAGGACATGTTCTACAGCCCCGGTCCCAGTGTCCAGGGGCCAAAGCAATCGCACTGTGTATTGTATTTAAGTAATTGGAGGGTAAAATGTGTTTCCAATTTGTTGTACTACTCGGGCCGTACCAATTCTAGCAACATTTTGGGCCTGCCCCCGCCCCATTCCCTTTTGTTTCATTTCATTTCGCTTTTCTTCTTTCGCTTTAAGAACGAGGGAGTGGGTGGAGAGGAGAGGAGAAACAAGATTGAAAAAAGTATTGAATTACATTTATACAACATTTGGTTGAATAGCTTTTCGGGTGGCATGGCATGGGATGTCTGATGGCTGGGGGGGGGCTGGTCGAGTGTTGCGGTTTGAGTTTCCTTTTGTTGAGTGCTGGATGGCTGGTTGGGTGGGTCGGTTGAGTGGGTGAGTGGGTGGATGGTTCGTTCAGGCTTTGGCGATTAACGTGCCTTCCGCTCGCCGTGCCGTTGTGTGGTGTGGTGCGTAGTATATTTGTGGCTTCCATGGGTGTCTGTCTGTGCGTCTCTGTGTGTCTGTCTGGAACATGGACAGATATCTGAGTGGAACAGAAGTGAAGTGGGGTAGGGGGTTGGGGGGATTCCCGCAGGAATCGCGCTTGGTGAAAATTCATTAGTTGCCCATTTTTATGCTATTTTCTTTCATTGATAAAAGACGCACGCATGCATGCATTTATTATGCCGTTTGACGGAGGCATCGGCATCGGCATCGGCATCGGCAACGGACACGCATTAAAATTGTAACAGACAGGAAAGGGAACGTCGGACGGAGGACGGTGGAATGACAGGTAGTTGGTAGGGAACCCAGAGCAGAGGAGATCTTTTCGGGGTTGACACACACTTGCCTTGGGCCACGAACGTCCTTCGGTTACAATGGCACTTTTGTCTGCCGCTCAGCCGCTCTGCCGATCAGCCGCCCAGCCGCTCTGCTGCCGGTGTCTTTTCCGGACTTTGAGAATGCATTTCCCACACTTTTCCCTAGCTTCCCCTTCCTCTTCCCCGTCCCCGTCTCCATCACTCTCTCGACCCACGCTGCAACAGATTTTGATATTGCTTCTTTTGATACCATTCCATTCCGTTTCTTTGTCATATTTCGAACCTGTCGATCGCCCCCGACCACCGACCCCCGACCCCCGACCCCCGACCATAAATAGCTGTCAAATTCAATTCCGTTTTCCCCCCTTCGCTTCTTCGCTTCGTTCTGACCGTTCTTTGGCCGTAGGTTTCTCTTTATACCCCAGCCCTCCTCCCCCTCCTCCTCCACCTTCCCACCATCTATTTCACTTTTTTTTTTGGTAAGCTTCATTGCAACAAAATTCAACAAATTAGCTTCATTCCAGCCCCTGACATTTCCACCATGATCCGGCACATTGATTGTCGTCGTTTCTCTGGCTTCCGATCTGTTTTTCTGTTTTGATTGCCATTGGCACTCCCGTCCTCTCCACTCCCACTCGCCCGCCCCCCCTCTACCCTGTCATTCGCTTCCACAAGTCATTCACACAAATTGAGGAAACTTGCCGGTCATGCCCTGGGATCTCATCTCTGCGATTCGAGAGCCGCATGCCGCATGCCCCATGGCAGCCTCTCATTTTTGTAGCACAGTTTCGGGAGCAGAGCACCTATGGAATCCGAATAATACATGGATGCATAGATGGATAATCCGGAATGGAGCATTGCCCCCCGACTCCTAAGAACTATGTTCAATAAAGAACACACCGCAACCCTAACGATAGTTGCAGCCCTGCAGTGTTTAAAAAAATGAAAAACCTAGCAACCCTAACGATAAATTTGTTCTAGAAAAGTCTTTGACCGAGTCATTCGAGTAAAAGTAAAAAAAAAGCTACACTTTTTGGATAATTTTTGTGAAAAAATGAACGCAAATGCAGAAATCAGTGGGGACCTCGCCAAGCTACAGGGCGAGCAGACTTTAACACCGGCAGCCCTCGAGATTCTTAAGGAACATAAGAAAATGGACGGGTCTATTCAAAACTTGGTCGAATCGTTTTGCGAGTACAAGGACAGCCCGTACGCCCTGTGCAAGACCATGGTCCGAATGAAGAGAGCTCGAGATATATTTATGGAGCAGAAAGAAGGCTGCTTGGAGCTGATGGAACGTGAGGGGAAGATCAAGGAACTTATGGTTGTGGTCGGCTGCATTAATGCCTCATTGGAGCTCATCCGTTATGTGCAGGACATGTACCAGCATAGGCAAATGAACTACAGCAAAAAATCCGACGATCTTAAGGTAATACCCCTTCGGCACAGCATATCAGCAGTGGTACAATATTCGTAAATTGCAGGTCGTAAATAATGTACCGGGAAGACACAGAGTTCAAATGGTATACCTCTGCAGCGGAGACCAGCAGCTTAAATAATTTTGAGCTTTGAGGCCCGGAAGATGACAGAAGACACAAAGCCAAAGAACAAAATAAAACAGACTCCAACACAGGACGCCAGCCATCCACTTGCCAGGACGCCACCCATCCACTTGCACATTAAGGAACGCCTCGAGCCATTAAATATTGCAAACTCTTCCAAACTGCCTTAACAATCAACTGTATGTCTTTTAAGTATAGCATGGAAGTGCTTTGAAATCGGTACAGACCCCACCAGTAGCAGCCTGTCGGCTGGCCCTCTTTGGGGGGTTTTTGTCACCGAATGATGGATCTGCCATTCGAATGCCATTCAAGTTTCTCTACTCTTTCATTCGTTCAAACATCACAATTCATGTACCTTTGAAGAAATTGGAGTTTTAGAAGCTCAATTTTGATCGTCTACCAAATCCGTGACCGTAGATTACCTCTTAAGTCCGTAGCCTAATGTTGGCCCAACACTTTTGAACTCCACGGAGAGCCCCTTTTCCACTCCTGCGAAGCGAGTGTTTTTGGGCGCAAATGTCAAATGCTTTTCTGTGTCTTCTTGACGGCCAACTGGTCATGTTTCTTGGTCCCTTCAATGCCCAAAGATCCCTCTATCCTCTTCTGGCTGGAAATGGCGATAAAAATAGCCAAGGATACGGTCTTAAAGGGCCATCGTTGTACATAGATCGTAAGGTCCTTTGAAGAAGTCCCTGTCTGGGAGCAGCTCCAGCCATAATTGCCTCTGTGCAAAGTTCAAACCGATTTCCCGGTCCCATCCCGAGGATCAACAGCGGATGTTCCGCCAATTTGCATGCCCCATTACGCGTAATAACCGAGCAGCTACTTCATTATAGATCAATTGGAAGAGTGAAACAATTTGCACAATTCGGCAGTGGAAAGAATGAAACAATTGAGGAATACCAGAGTTCCGATTCCCTATTTGCTGCCTTTGTCGGCGGGACCTTTCAAAACAGAACTGCTTGATCCATATATATATCTAAGGAAGAAGGAAGAAGGAAGGGCATCCAGCGGCCAGACAGTGACGGGCATATCGAAATCTTGTTTTGATTTCTATTTGAATTTGTTTGGACCCAAACATCGTCGAGGAGGCCGCAGGCAGGAGGCGGGGGGCAGTGCAATTAATATACAAAAGCGAGACAGAAGAATGCCGAGCACAAAGGCGTGCCAGGAGCACCAGGGCAGCGGGGAAGAGGGCGGGGGGATGGGAAAAAAGGCCACAGGAAGTCAATGTGTCAGAGGGACGCCCTCGTCAGAGTTTTCCTATTTGTTTGGCAGTATCGATAGATCGAGGCGGAAACGCGGCTAATTTGCACCCCTGCCCCTGCCCTGCCCCTGCCCTGCCCCTGCCTTGCCCCTTCCCTGTCCCTGCTTGTTGTTGCTCATTTCTCTCTTTCTCCTCTGTCTGTCTCTCTCTAGTTAGCTGTGCTCCTGTGCAAAATTATTAATTTACGAGCTGTCAACAGTTATTGTTCCGCCAGCTCCGTGTTTACATCCACACAAAAGAGAGACGGCACACAGAAGCACAGAGAAAAAGCAAGAGTGTGAGAGAGAGAGAGAGATAGGGATTTATTTTCTCTTTTTTTGTAGTCTTGTAGAGAGAATTATGTTTTGAACCAGATGTTTGTAACGCAAAGAGTGATTTACAGAGAAATATATCCAAAATATGCATCAGTCGATCAGTCAACTCACGCGTCATGCGGCAGTGCACCTCCGCCGGTAAAAAGAAATTTCAGACCAAAGTTGAATGACGATATCTCACATCAATATGCTAGGGTATCAATCGTTACGACTCTCCAATAGGGAGCTCCCTTAAACACCATCTGCGTACCATACCACGCGTCATGCGGCAGTTCAGCTCCGCCGGGAGCTCTGCGTTCGATCTGCTAGGGTATCAATCGTTACCACTCTGGCATATGCCAGGGTATCGAACACCTCCACACCCCGAATCTAGCCTTCAAATGTATACCTTTTTAATTTAATACCTTTGACAAATTTCTGGTATTTCCGCTGACGCTGTCATCCCTTTGACATACGGAATAGTCGCGTCTCCGCGGCGGCAGTGACAAGCTTCATCAGGCAATTATTCTCGATTAGCCAATAGTATGATGATAGCCATATTTTAGCTTCTCTTTTGGGTTCTCTTCTACGCAATTAATGCCATGACTTGCTTGCTTTTCATGCCTCCTCCTCTGGCTGCCCATCAAATTAGAGGCTCTCGATCACCGATCAAATTTGTTGTGGCCTGCGATCAATCTGCGGTCATTAGTGCGCTAATTAAATCGAGTGCTCAGCGGGTTTTCCTTTTTTCGACTGCGTCATTGTTTGGACAATGGCTGAGAAATTAGCCGCCGGGGGCCAATGCACTGTTCCGTCCCCATCGCTCGATCTGCTAATGGAAAATGTGGGAGCTGCTAGCTGGTAGCTGGGAGCTGCTAGCTGGTAGCTGGGAGCTGGAAGCTTCCCTTCGAAAGTTGGAAGCGTGGGTTTTTGGCTTGATGGCACTCTGGATAGATGTCCACTGAAAATCTGAAGATCTGTTTGAGGATCAGTCAGCCCTCCCGAGGCTGGATCTTGGCTTAGACAACCTTTATTAATGCCCAAATGGGCTACCTATTAATCATAATCCAGGCTTTGAGCCACCTGCGAGATTCGAGGGTTTTGTGTTCCCGCAACGATCGTGGTAGATCCGCCAGGACTTCCGCCTAATCCTTTGCTCATCCTCAGACTCGCGGCGATGATCGGCGGCTTAATCGCTTATCGCATTAAGGCAGCGTCTGGCCTAATCCTCCGCCCATCCACCCATCCACCCATCCACCCAGCCGCTCGTCCGCCATTGATCTGCTGGGCATGTCTGGTCGTGATTCGTGATGTGAGCGCTATCTCTCTGATAAATGCGGCAAATGCCGGGCCTCGTACTGTAATTCTGTGGAGAGGGCCTTAAGCTCTTCGGCAAACTGCAACCCAAAACCCGAAAAACGGAAAAAAGAACAGAGGGAAGAAGAAAGTCGCTGCCAAATGCCAAAGGTAAATACGAGTATCACTCTGTGAAGGAAGCTGGAGGAGAACACACAGGTGCCACTTGCTCCCATTCGCTGCCGCGCTGCCACGCCCACTTGTGTCGTATATCTTATTCTCATATAAAGAATATATATATATATATATATATATATATATGTTTGTATATGAGTGTATATTATATCTGTGTATGGTCTTTGTCAATTGTTTGGCATTGTTTTCCAACGCGGGCGACTCGGCGACCACTCGACATGGTGTACAATTGTCCTTGTTTCCGATACCCTTTGAAGGGAGCAGACTTTTGGGGATATATGTAGATCTGCATCCAGCCATTAGACGAGAAATCGTTGCTTAATTTATGGCATATTGGTAGGTTTTGGTGAGAAAATTCATGGTCGCTGAATGGAGGTATCAACGGATGGATATATGTATATATTCCATTTCTTTAGTTCTTCATCTTTATCTTATGGTATGCTTTCTGCCTGGGGCTTACCATAGTACCTAAAGGGTAGACAGCGGGTCCGAACATACCCGCCAGATCGTTCCTTTGCCGGTCCTTTGGCACGTAGCTAACGAACAAAGCTCGTCGCTTGCTGCTCGAGTGGCCGTTCGAGTGGCATCTCTGGAATCTAAATGAGCAATTCATGAGTTGTTGGCAACCCTACTTGACGGCAGGGCCTGAGTCCTGGCTACCCCTCCACTGGCGTTCTCCTTTGGCTGCTGCTGCTTGACTCTCCACTTGCACTCGTTTCCCATTATATCCTTTTTGCTGCTGCTCCTTCTTGCTCCTTCAACGAGGAGTAACTTTTCTTTTTTCCACTCTTACACTCTGCTCCCTTTTTTGTATGATTTTGTGTCGCCTCCTTTTGTGCGAGTCGTTTGGTTATTGAGCCCGTCATTATGCTGCTTATTATTATTATATTTTTATTGTACTTGTGTTTTTTAATAATCAACTGACTTGACTCCTCCCCATCCATTCAACGCCAGACCCCCCCCCCCCCCCACTATAGAGGCCAGAGCCACTCACCCACATGCGTGTAAAAAGTCATTTCATTCACTCAATTCTCATATCACCCTCTCATGAATACCCTTTCCTCATCTCACCTCAACAGCTGGTTATCCCTGATGGACGAGGCTTTCGATAACATATGATAGAATTGGGCAGACTATCGCTTGAAGTATCGATTCTAATCGTTATTGTGGGAGATCCATCTATAGAAGGACTTAAAGTTTAAAGTATAGACTTTCCATTATATACCGTCTAGATATGTTATCGATTACTCACCTCACCTCAACTCAACTCGACACCTCTTTCGAGCAGTATCTTTCACGATCTCCCAGTTTCTGTTATGGCTAAGGCCCAGCCCAGCCCATCATAGCCGTAGCCGTAGCCGTAGCCGTAGCCTGCCTGCCGGGTGCGGTTTTTACACTCCAAATATTCAATTACGCTGCGGGCGGTCCGAGTCCCCGGTCACCGGTTTACGGTTTACCCATTGCCCGCCCTATCCGTTTATTGCCTGATCAGGGAACCAGACCAGAACGGTAAAGGGTACGGAAAAGGGTGAGGGTACGGGTACGGCAGCAGGAGCAGAGGCGAGGTGAGGTGAGGTGAGGCGAGGCGAGGCGATGACGGAGTCCCAGAGTCGTCGGAATTGGGAGTCGGAGTCGGAGTCGAAGTCGAAGTCGTACCGCTCTGTTGACACTTGAGCTCAGGCGGTGGTATTTAATATGCGGCTCAACATTCTTTTCATTTCGCTCCCCATTCTGCCCAGTGCTGCGAAAATGAAAATCGCCCGCCGACAAACGACAAACGTCAAGTGTCAAAGGCATTGAAAGAGGCAGGGGGGCAGGAAGCAGGTGGCGGGGGGCGGGAGGCAGAAGCAAAGGCGGTGGACACCACCGCCAGTGACGGTCGAAGGCTTTTGATGATGTGATTTTCATACCCTTCGATGACCGTGTGGGTATTATGAGCTTCAACGGATGTTTGCCGTGGCATCGCCTTGAAGAAAGCTCATTAGGTACTAAACAAAAACCAGATCTACAGCAATTATTAATAGCTTGATATGGGTGTTCTTTTGTGAGATGCAATTTTGTACAAT